TTGATGTTGTTGAAGAGGGAAGCTATACTTGAAAGCATTCTCAGAAGTGGCACGTGTTGGCAGAACTTGTTTGCCAGATTGACAGCATCTTGCGAAGTGCGGAACAACATTCCAAACTTCAATTGGCTAGAATGTGTATCAAAACTTAAAAATTAGTTCCCTTTTTCTGACCTACATAAATATATAGTGCGAAGATTAGAAAAAGAGTACAATTTTTGAGTATTTATCAACCTTCATCCCACCTCGGTGACCTCGTTCATGCGATCGAAAAATGATCATCAATTTCTCACCTTACAGGTATGGCTCAATTAATCGCAAAACTTACGTCAAACCATTGCCCACCGAGGTCACTCAGGAAGGATGATGGTTGACAAGTACTCAAAAATTGTTCACTAATGTTGGCACCATAATGCCGGCCTGACCGTAGGTGAATCGGTTCGCCAAGTTAAACGACGCCTTTTGTGCGATGGTGAATAGATGCGAAGGATGGGAACCAAGGAATTCTTGTGGGGAAGAGTGGCTTTACTTGGGCGAGAGGTTAATCGGTAAAGGTAGGGACGATTCGCTTTCAGATATGCCTACCGACGGCAGACGGAGAATAACATTTAGACCAGGTTACGTAAATCGAAGAACAAACCCAATTAGGGTCGGCTTATTTATTTTAAATAAAGTCGTCTGGCAGAAATGGTAGTATGTATGTACATATTTAATTACATGAAAGCTATAACTATTTTCGCTTTCGCGCGTATGTATATTCCTATATAAGCGTTGGTGATGCTGCATTCTAAAAAAATTCGGGATGGGATTATAAACTATATTTTTAAAGCTGTACCAAGTTTCGAGAAATTCTAGAGGCAAAAAGTATTAATCTACATTAGTATACATTACTTTATTGGTAAGTAATAAATAAAGTTTAAAAATGTAAAAACATGTAATGGAATTACAAATTTTACTGGGGTGCCGAAATAATCCAGTAAAGTTTCGAGATTATTTAGGTTTCTAATTTCGTAGTCCATTTTTCTATTTCTTAGCTTTCCGATTCTAGTCTTACTCTATTAATTTCTAGTAAATGTTTAGCTTTATTATTTATCTGAATTGGATAAATTATGCGGCAACAAATTACACATTCTAAGACGATAAGAACAAGCTACTCTAACGCCATGTTTACAAACTTGTTCGTAATAGTGCAACTATACATAAATTCTAACAATTCAGGTCTGTTACTGATACGTGAATTCGTAGAAAATTGGTATGTATCAATTCATTACCGATCGGAGTACATATGTGACTCTACCGGCAATGGTATTAATGGGAATTACCGTTGAGCAATGTTGTGATAATAAAAAAATTACCACTCAGGAACAGCTTACCACCAATCGGGTTCGCAATTATTACCAAATCAATACCAGCACGGCGTACCTAAATATGTATCGGATTTTTAACAATGTGTACAACTCAGGGGCTAATTTTATTTCGTTCCCCACAACAAATTATTTAGCATACCTATAATTTTTGCATACTTGAAAAAATGCGCTAATTTGACCACAAGGCGCAAAGTTTAAATTGTACTCCAGCCAAAGCAGAATATTTTTGCTTTCAAAACCTCGGGTTTTCTAAATCCACTAACTTTTATAATTTTAGCTTAAATTTTAAAATTCGAAAACATTTATCTCCAGAATGACTGTAAGTAAGAAATATTACCAGCTTGGTACAAAATTAGATAACAGTAGGCATACATTTTTTTATCACAGCGGTGCAGTTAGTGTGTAGACTGATGTGTTAGTCAACAATAAGAGTGTTTTTTCGGCTTCCAACGATTTTCTAGTTTGATGGCTTAAAAGCTGCGTAATTTTGTGTACATGAAGAATCTAAAATAAGATGGGGGAGGGGCTTGGTCAGTTTTCGCGATACGAGCCAAAATGTTCGATTTTTTTGGAAATAAGGGGGTGATACTAATGGAAGTGGCAGTTGGTTTATTGTGTGTAAAAAATGAATGGTAACAGGAAATTTAGTGAAATTTATATAAATTATAGATGGGGACTGTAGCTACTTATAATTTTCCACCAATGGTCCAAACACTCCATTCCTTCCGAGTAAGCTAAGCTTGTTGCAAACGGTCGGTTAGAAGGTTTTGCCACTGGTTTACCCAACGAGTTTTATGATTGCCGTCATGACGTATATAAATTCTCCCAAGTTTTTGGGTGGTTTTTGTCTAATGGAATATTCCTTCTTGATTAGTGCCCAAAACCGTTCAATTGGGCGAGCTTGAGGGATATTTAGAGTGCCGTCTCTTTTTTCAACAAAATCAATATTTTTGCTTCGAAAAAAGTCGGTCACAATCTTGTCATAGTGGGATGTCGTCATGTCCATCACATGCTTGTTTTTGATAAAGGGGGTTAATCTCCTTATGATACATCTTTCAGTTAGAGTTTAGAATTCAAAGTCTTGCAAATAATAAATAATATTTCTTGAGAAAAGCTATGTCCACTCTCTTCGCTACTTTCACCGATCCCAGGAGGGCAGGTCGGCAAACTGATTTTTTGAAATCTGCATTTCCACGTTCGTCGTATCTGTCCAGTACTCGGTTAATTTTGTTCCAATGGATTCCTCCATTTCGAACAAAATTCCGAGTGTTTTTTCGATCCCTGAAAAAAAAATTTTGGTACTTTTTGGCAAAACCGTTTTGCGAGTTTGTCGGAATTTTTTGCTCTCATTTTAGAACGAATAGAGATAACGAATTTTGGTTTTCGGATTCAGAAAGCTGATTAAATTCCGAATGAGACGTAATAGGCCTGCAAACTTTAACATGACTCCTAAAACAATTAAGCGAGCGGGGCAAACTGCCACTTTCATTAGTATCACCCCCTTATTGAGAAATTAAGGTTTTGACTAAAACTCTGCCTTAATATTATTTTATGCACAATGACATATGGTGAATGAGTGTTTTTCTTACAATGGAACCTTTTTTCAAGCTACACGAGATAAGCTTAGCGACTTATACTAAAACATCAAGCTAAAAATTAGTAATGACGTGGTACTTATCTTTCCGTTGAATGGGCACTTGGAGGTCAAATATTTGAGGGCAAAGTTCACAGTAGCGGCCTGTTTTTGCTCAAGCGGGCGAGCGGAGGAGTGAAAATTTTCTCCTTCGAGGTCACTCCGCTGCCTTCACTCTCGCGTTTTCGGGTTTGCACTTTCATTCAATGCATATTATTTTTGATAAAATTTCACAATCTCGTAAATTGGTGCATACATTCATATAATTTTATATTTACTTTTTAAATCGATCCTTACAAAAGTGACGATGGGTGCAGTAAATTATAAGTGCGTCGCTAAAACATTCACCCAAATAATACAATTTCGAGGATGATGAATCGGACCCAGATGAAGAAAATTTCTTAATTCCTGAAGTTTTACTAGAAAAGCTGCAAGAGATAACTTACAATTACATACTTATTGAAGAAAATGAAAATCAGTGATAAATGAATAGCTAAATATTAGCACTTGTGTTAATTATTACGAATTTACTCTTATTTTTATTAGGTGGTATAGTGCATGATGTAAATTTTATTGATTGCGAAAACGGGGAATTAATTGATACTTTTTTATAACGGATCGGTGGATAGTATGTGGGATCGATTTAAAAAGTAAATATAAAATTATATGAATGTATGCACCAATTTACGAGATTATGAAATTTTATCAAAAATAATATGTATTGAATGAAAGTGCAAACCCGAAGACGCGAGAGTGGAGGCAGCGGAGTGAATCGAAGGAGCAAATTTTCACTCCTCCGCTCGCCCGCTTGAGAAAAAAACAGGCCGCTACTGTGAACTTTGCCCTCAAATATTTGACCTCCAAGTGCCCATTCAACGGAAAGATAAGTACCACGCCATTACTAATTTTTAGCTTGATTTTTTAGTATAAGTCACTAAGCTTATCTCGTGTAGCTTGAGAAAAGGTTCCATTGTTAGTGAGGCAAATACCTGACAACGAAAAAGATTTGCTAAGTATGCATTTACCCCACCCAAAAAAAGTGACATAAGTCGATTTCTCGGCCATTTCTCAACAGATTTTGATGAAATTTTGCACAGATCATTGTTAGCTAATTTAGAAAAGATGTGCTAGTCGACTTAGCGAATTTTTGATTTTTACCCAAGTTATGTGCCAAGATATGCAAAAATTTTCCCCTGAAAACATATTTATTGTTATGATTCATAAGTGGTGTATCTCAGCATGCTCGCTTATTGAAAATATTTTAGTCAAAGTCATTCCGGACATTTTAAGCGCAAAATGACCTAAATCGGTTGAGAAATAACGGCGTTATTCAAGTTTGAAAATCAAAAATTTAATAAAAATATTCAGGGTGCCGACAATAACGGCGGTTGTGCAGTAAAAATAATGTCTTTGACAACTAATTACAAGTTTTAAATAAACAAGGCCCCAAAAAATTGGAAATCTTAGTGAGTCAGCGCAATCACAGTTGACAGTTAATAAATAAAATTAGATTGAATAACTTTTGCATCACCGCTCTCGGGATAATTTTTACTGGGTTCACTGTAAATTTAGTTTTGGATACGCATGAACTCTTGCATTAATTGAGATTACAAGATGACGTTTTTACTATTGAACGAGAAGTTGGCTAAATTAATCGATATGAAATATAATTGTGAACTGCGAATTTTAAATTTAGAAAGAGTTGAAAGTCTACAATTATAAATAAATATAAATAGATATATAAATTTGGATATCCTATTAATTCCTATTCTGATGAAATCTCCAGACCCCTTGCAGGGGGGGGGCAATTATTCTAAATGATTAATACCGAGAGCGGTGATGAAAAAGTTATTCAATCTAATTTTATTTATTAACTGTCAACTGTGATTGCGCTGACTCACTAAGATTTCCAATTTTTTGGGGCCTTGTTTATATCATTATGCAAGCCTTGGACAAGTGTTTTTCTGCAGAATGACAAAAAAAACGTGTATACAAGAAACGAGATTCAATTACACAACAAATTATTTATTTTACGCCTAGTTTTTAATGTAACCCTTAAAATTAATGAATTGCTTTAATGAGGGCCATTTCCCAGAAGAAGCTGTCACTCGTTGCACGGTCGATCTTGATCCAGCCGTCGTGCTTTGGACAGGGGCCCGTCTTGACCTTGTCGCCAGCCCCGCCGCTGGGTTGGAGGCACCGCTCCACGTCGTTGTTCCACACCATGACCTTCCCCAGACTGGGGCGCGGCGAGGGGCGAGGGTCCAACGTGATGGTCCATCTGCAAATCACCAAAATTAGGGTTCATACAAAATTAATATGGATTAAAAAATCTGAAAGGTTATTGGGCGGATGATTGTTTTTTAATGGCTTGATTTTGCCTAAAAATCAATCATTTTCCAACTTTGAATAGATTGTCGTTTAAAAAGTAGAGTAATTGAATAGTTGTCAATGACTATGAGCGACTTTCACCTTTTAAAAAATTGTGAAGACTTTACTGCATCTTAATTTTGAACGAATAGTAGTAAAGGTAAAATTACAACTGTTAGATATTAAAATAATGTTGGCCTCAACGATGTAATCTATCTTTGCAAAGGTTTCGCAAAATAAGTAATTACGTTATTGACGCATTTCTTGGTAAATTTGCAAAATGCAGAAGTTTTGTAATGTCACATTACTAATGTGCAAACTTTCATCATATAAAAGACGCTCCTGATCTGAGGAAACATTGAGCAGCGATAATATTCTTTGGCACAATTTGTAAAACTTTGTAATTTTTTTCAGATTTTACAAGGTTGCTAAGGGCGGCGTGGATTTGCTTAATATGTCATAATTCCTCTGTATATGTAACAACAATACGGACGCCAATAATCATTGTGCAGAAATTTGCAAATCTTGTGTGAATTTTTACCTTATGCTTGCACACTGTAGGGAACAATTTTGCAAATGGGTGTAAAATCCTTTTCCCTCGGGGGGTGAGGCGAGACACATTTCTGGGGTGATGAACGGCCTAATGCTTCCGCCCCACTGGGGGCCGAGCGTTATCCACTCCTGAATCTTGTCGGAAGGGTCGCAAAAATCCATGAAGGTGTCGCCACGATGACCCACGAGACATTTTCCGCTGGATAAATGTTTCAGCAAAAAGTGGCGTCTGTAAGGAACCTCGTTTTGCACACTACTTGCCAAAACTAAAATTAGCAAGGACACGGCGGAAAATTTGTTGGTCATCTTGGCAAACTGTTGACAAATTGGGAGCAGAATATTAAAAAAAAATATTTACTCCATTTCAATATCTTGTGGTGGTAAAATTTCCTAAAATAGCGGTGGTAAAATTTCTTAATAAGGTTTTGAGCAAAATTTTATTTTATTACCTTGATTTTGCTGCTTTACGAATTTGGTATAACTTTCACCAAATTACGGAAGGGAATTACTATAAAGTTGAAAGTACAAATTTTAGATGAGCACAAAATATAAATCTGGTAAGTTTTTTAAATACGTAAGATTTCGAAAAGTAAGGAAAATGTGAATGTTTATTTTTGCCTTGACTTTTGTGTTGATCGACTATTTTTATAACTTACAGAACACGTAAAATTAGCAAGATCCGTGAAAATTATTAAAAAGTTGAAAGTAGAAATATGTAAATGAGTACAAACGAATGCTGTGCAAAATTGTGTTGCTTTTTCTATCCTTTATGAACCAGGAATGAATTAATGAATGAAGAAAAGTAGGAATGGGTACGTGCCGGAAGTTCCGACTTATCTTCTGTGGACATCCGTCTTGAACACATTCCACGAATTCGGCCTGACCCTGGCCCACTTTACTTCCTTACAATGTTTGAGGAAGAGAGCCGACATTGGTTGTGATTTTTTGCGTAACGTCTCGTCTCATTTTTTGGCAAGGTTGCTATTGAAAATAATTGCGAAGTATGTACATAATACATATGCTTAATGGGTGACCCTTACATAAGATGTGCGAAAACTGCGTAATGCCAGATGTCGATAGCCTGGCGTCGCATTTGGTGCTTTCTGCGTTAATGGTGACCAAAAACAGACTGTTTTACAAATTTGCAAAGAATTTGGTAAACTTGTTCTGTTCTGTATGCTTCGCGATGTGTCGTATTATTATTATTTTTTGGCGTTAATTCTCACGACAGCGAAAAGAAAACGCATTTTGCTAATTAAATTTTGCAAACTTGTTGTCACTATAAAGATAGATACATATGTATATAGGTACGTTATCTATAAGTCCATTATTACATATTAGTCAGATTAAAGCATGGACAAAGATCCATTGAGCAAAGTTTTAATAAGTATGACAAAATTACAAATAATTTATTGATATTGTTAATTAAATTGCGTGAAATAATTAACACGAACCATGGGAAATTGTTTTTAAAAGGTGTAAGTTATGCAAAATGAAAATCATACATTTCGATTTTGCATGCAAAAAAACTCATGACAAAAACCTGAGTGTTAGGAACCTTGGCAGTCATTCGTAAATATTGCTGATCTTGCATGCAAAATAAGTTTGTTAGGGAACACACATATATTATGTCATCAAAAAATACGCCAGAGTGTTTACCACTCATCACATTTTCCATATCCTACTATTATTAATCTCAATACGAGTACTACGTACCAAAAAATTCCCAACTTTTTGATGATGTGATGTATGGATGTTCCACAACATATTTGCTGGATCTACATATGTACGCTTTCATTTATTTTACTTTGTGCATAAATTTGTAGATTTTTGTACCACATGAACACAGATTTACATACGCTAGATACTTTTGTACATACATTTCGATTTATTTTGTTAATTATGTCGATATTATTAACGTACTGTAATGCCGAATTTGCATTTGGATTTTTTGAGAATGCTTAATCTATTTGCATAATGTAAAAATCTAACCACTTACTTAAATATTAACATAGAATTATTATAAGTTATTAATTTTAATTTATAGGCTTAATTATAATCTGTATACAGATTAGTGTTAATTCACTACGCAATGACTATTTAGATGAAATTGATATGTGCCAAACTATCTGGGGCTAAGATTGTTTTATTTTAATTTAAAAAGTTTGTTTTGTTTTGTTTATTACCAAAAAACAGAAGAAAACAAATTTCATAGTTTATGACCTGTTCCCAAGCTCACATTTTTGATAAGAAGTTAAACTTGAAGTTAAAAAACATGTGTACAGTTTATTACTTTGTATTAGTTTTCTTTGATAACTGGGAGACAAAAACTTAAAATTAGTTAACGAAATATAAACAAGCTACCAATAAAATCCATCCCGAGTGACAATGATTCTTTAAATTTATGCACAATTAATTTTCCATTTCAAAGATGCATAAAAAAATTCCATATAAAATTGTGGGTTCGTTTGTATTGAAATTCGTATTCAAAATTATTTGCATAATATGTATGTGTGGCTATCCACTTTTATGCATACATATTGTGCCCACTATTTTGAATACAAAAGTTTATTTCACTTATCCTTAATGCGGACAAGTGCAACGAACAGTGTGAGTATAATTTGAACTGCCTTTTTCGCATACTCAGGTCAGAACAAGCTACACATTTTGTGCATACACTTTTGCCACTTTTAAGACGTAACAAAGTTTACTGCTCTGAACATTTTTGTACAAAAATGTTTTGATAACCGCTTATTTGTACATACATAGACAAACAGTGGTAAAAAAATATAACAAAGTTTTAAAGTAACTTACATATGCTAAAATTCCCAAATATTGGTTCCAATATTCCAGTTTTCAAAAACTTTTGTAATTATTTGCACGATTAAACTAGCCTCATTATTTAAAAGCATGCGTACGCCAACTCATACGTATGTACCTGACGGAGACCAAATTTAAGTTCTCAATGTTTCCAAAAAATCGTAAATTTTGAATGTCATGTCTCAATGACTTCCGACGTGTAGCAACCATAACTTCTGCTCCGAAGTTTTGCGATAAGACTGATAAGAATGAGTTGTACGCGTTCCTAGATTTACGTAAAGATTTTGAGGAAATTATAAAAAATCTTGAAATCCGCTTGTTGCCTAAGACGTACGCACATAAATATTTTTTAAATTCAAAGCATAGTGCAAATTACACAGCCAATACACTTATATCCCTGGTTTTAGAAGATTAAATTCAGAGAAAAACTCGTCGAAATTCTGTCAGAATCAAAATTTGTATTTTTAATATGATTTTAAAAGCTGTGGAAAAACTAGCAAACTATAGCTAAAAAATGTTGATATCTACAGCGAACATTGACCGTTATGTTTAGTGTGTTTCATCCTCAAGTATTTATCAACTGAAGATTTTTAGAAATATAAGTCTCCTTATAATGTAAAGATTGTTACCAAGCCTAACGATAAAAGCAATACAACTGCGTTTTTTTAGCTGCGCAAGATGAATTCCGGTGCGTGTTTTACGCAAAGATTTTGATAAAATTGTAAAAAAATCTTTAAATCGGGGTAAACGTAAAACGTACGTTTTTCTTAATTAAGAAAAATAGAGCAGTGTTTAATGCACGGAGAATAAATATGCACACCGTTATCCGTTTCCAACATAAACTTCAGAAAATCAGTGAGCTATACATATCGCCCAGGGGCAAAGATATTATCGAATTTCTATCGAACATTGGCCAGCTGTTTTTAATTGTGCAGGTTTAATGCAATTTAATATTTAATTTAATTTAATATTTCTCAAGCGAACATTTTTAGAAAAAGAAAACTAAAGTATTTACCAACCCAACATTTTTGGGTATTGTCTACTCAAGCATATACCACTTGAACAAAATTCCGAATTGAACCATACTCAAGTAGGAAAGCATGAAGAAGACACAAGGCAAGAAGTCTCGCAGTATGTATGAGGAGAGATTCTGAATCATGTTTGAGTTCTCAACCGAGACCCAGAAGTGAACTGCTTGCGTATATGTCTCAAGATTAGAGAAACGCGGTATTGTCCTGGGGAAACACAAATACCTATCGTGTCCATAATAATCTTCTATTGTCTATTTCTTAGCGACCTTCACCCCTGTTGGAGATGACAAGTACTTTGGGTGAGAGCGTAGCTACGTAAAAGCCTGCCAAACAGTATTGATGCTGTAACAATGATATTTAAAAAACGGTCAATGAACATGCTTCATTCGAGGAAACCATGAATAACTACGGGATGGAGATGGAGATGGAAACCTAACCTAACCAATGTAAAAAGTGTTGATTGAAAACTTTACCAAAATAATTAGCATTCAAACGAACGTCTAAGACAAGGAGAAGGTACATAAAAAAATCTTAGAGTTTGCTTTTTTTGTGTCGTTTGTAGCCTTGTATAAGTTCATAGATCTTTGTAACTCGCTGCTCACCAGTGAGGTGGGTACCCTAGGCACCTATGGGCAAAGTATACGAAATTATCCAGCTAAAACTTTGCTTTACAAAGGCAAAGTAATTAGCTTATCGATCACAGGGAAAATCCTGTCATTGACAGATTCGAGAATAGCTTCAAGTTACAATATTTCTTATGCCCAAGCTACATATTATACAAATCGTGTAAGATCACCAAACATAAATAAAGGTTATGTGTTATTAGAGGATTATCAACACCACAGCTGTGTTACAGGTCAGTGAGGAGATTTGTTATAAATGAATTTAAGATGCATACACGAACCAACACACTCCCATAATTTCCCACCACATTTATATACGTGATCATTGGAAGCAACCAGCCTAACTGCTCAAACTCACTGACTAGTAACTGCACAAACAAGGAAATATTAAAAGAAATGTATATATAGTAAAGAAAGTGAGCAATATAGCATTGTAAAAATAAAATAAATTCAAATAAAACACATTATAAAAATAATAAATTTTGGCATTGTGCTCCCACTCCTACAGTCCCCGGTCCTACAGACAGACGTTTGGAGCCTTAGCAGACGCATGCCAGTGTCAAGGGGATGCGTACAAGGAATCACCTACATACGTGCACAATCATTACTGAAATAAGCTATTGAATGAAGTGAGTCAAAATACAATTACAAAAATATATATCGGTAGTTGTTTCTCTGAAAACTGTTTTATTCATCTCCACTTCTATAAAATTCGTCAGTATGTATCATCTACTTCTAGATACCATATCAATTCCGGGAAAATTAACTGACTAATACGTCACTCCAGGTGAAACCTGCTCAGGGGTAAATACAACCAAGCCCAGTCCAACTCTCATTACCAACTAACTCGCTCGACTATATCTCGCCCAGCAGCTTTCAATAGCCCAAAATCAAATATACTTTTGGATAATTGTATTCAACTTTAGATAAATTGAAGTCGATAATATAGTAAACTGGAGTATTTTTACATCAATACGAACAGAATGACGTTGTGCAAGACAAGCAGAGTACATAAAAATGCCGAGACGTTTGAAACGGACTGGTGACCCTAAAAATGCTGATAATATGTATATACCTCAAACTTGCGGGAAACTTAGAAAGAATTATCAAACCAGAAAATTGTAGTGCAAATACAAAGCACTAAAATTGTGGATCAGAGACAAAATCTATTTTCTTGGTTAACACATTCGAGCATAGATTTGTCCAAGTGACCAATTGTGCGCACAGTATTGCGCACATAATGAAGTTGCTTATTAATGAACTTTATATGTAGACATTTGAACTCAGGAAAAAGATAAGAACAGTTCTACAGCCAGAGAT